TTAACCACCTTTATAATATATAATATAGGATGCACCAATTAAACTTAATGCTCTTGCCATGGAAAATATGCGCGTCAGTCTTCCTGTATTAATCGATCGTATTAGGCAGCACTATGGTGAAGCTTTTATCTACCAAGTATATATCAAAATCACTTTACCTCTTTGTATTTCATAAAGATAAATACTAATCATCATTATTTGTTAAATAGGTACATAAAATTGTTGGTTCAGCTGACTTTTTGGGTAATCCTGTTGGTCTATTCAATAACCTTAGTTCTGGAGTCGTTGATATTTTCTACGAGCCATACCAAGGATTCGTGATGAGCGATCGGCCCCAAGATCTTGGAATTGGACTTGCAAGAGTAATTATTATATGTTTTATTTTCGTCCTTAAATATTAAAAATAATCCATACCAATTTTTTTTTTCTAAAAAAGGGCGCAACGAGTTTCTTCAAGAAGACTGTGTATGGGTTTAGCGACAGTTTTTCTAAGGTTACAGGAAGTATAGGAAAAGGTTTGTATCATAGAACAATAATTTATTATGATGATTTATAAAATTGAAAAACTCATTTGTTTACATAAAATTACTACTATCATATAGGTCTTTCTGCTGCAACCTTGGATAAATCTTACCAAGATCGGCGAAGAATGACCCAGTTCAGGAATAAGCCCAAACATGCATTGTATGGTGTTAGCCAAGGAGTTAATTCTCTAGTAACAAGTTTTGGAAGCGGCATTGAGGGCCTAGCAGTAAGTTAATTCTTATGATATTTCATCCTTTATCTATTCAAAATTGACATTAAGTTATAATTTCAATTTAGCGTAAACCTTTAGAAGGTGCCGAGAGAGAAGGTGCAGCTGGGTTGCTCAAAGGAGTAGGAAAAGGATTGGTTGGGTAATGATCATTTATGTTCAAATTCAAGTATAACTACGTAATATTTATTAACATCAATTTTTATTTCAGTTTCGTAACTAAACCTGTTGTCGGTGTGTTTGATTTTGCAAGCAATGTAACAGAAGGTTTGTGTAACTTATTATTTAATGTTTATGGTGTTAAAATGCTAAGTTGTCGTTGACAACTATTCCTATAAAGGAATTCGAAATACTACCACTGTTTTTGATGAAAACGATATTGCACCGGCAAGATTACCTAGATATGTCGGGAGGGATGGAATACTAAAGGTATCTATTTATTTATACTTTTTTATTTGTTGATTGTCCGCTAAATTAATGTATTAATGTATTCGTATTATAATATAGCCCTATCAACAAAGAGAAGCTTTAGGACAATCTTGGCTGAAAGGATTGGAGGATGGAAAATATTTTAAAGCAGAATATATTGCACATCTTGGTAAGCTCACTTTTATGAAGGCACATTATTCGATTCTTATCTTAATAACGAATTTTCATTTTCTAAACAGATCTTAGAGGAGATGAGCAAGTGGTAATGCTCACACGATCGCGCATTATGCTCGTAAAAAATAGAAAATTAAAAGTAGAATGGGAAGTTCCATTTTCAGGTACGAATTATCAATCTTTCCCTTTAAAATTATATAATGATTAAATTACAGAATTCATGTTAATTTTATATTGGTTGTTTTTAGATCTTCAAACTATTGCTTTGCAGCCCAGCGGAATTTTACTTAATCTAAAAGGGAATGCACCAGGACCATTTATTCCTATTCCTGACGCTGAGAGTAAAGAATGGTTTGAAAAGAAGATTGAATTAATAATTAACGAATACAATGCAGAATCAAAAGACTTTAGAGATGAATAATTTATTTCGAAATTAATGAAGATATTAATAATTTATTAGCTTAATATTTAAAAAAAAAAAAATTTTTTTGAAGAATTTTTTTTTGTTATTGATTCCAGTTTAATGATTTTTGATCTATTATTATCTATTAAAATAAGAAGAATTTGCTTTTTTGTTTTGCTTAGTATTTAGTATTTATTGAAAATAATGTTTAAATCTATAACATATCATTTATAATATT